AAGGAAAGGCGGGGGGGGGGGGGGGGGGGCCGGAAGCGAAAGTTGGGCCGATTGAGACAACACTGTCGTAGGGGGTCCGGAGCATTCCCCCGCGAATTTTTTCTGTTCTAGACGTCCGAATATAACATTTGAGGCATTCTGGGCTATCATTTTTTTCTTTTTCTCTCTTTTTTTCTTTTTTATTTCTTTTTTTACCTTCCACCCCCACCACTAAATCCGCCCCTGATTAACATGATTAGTACCGTAACCTACTAACGATTTAAACAAACATTGAATAGAATTAACATTTTACGTTTACGTTTACGTAGGTACATCTTACAAAGGACCTAATAGTCCGGAAGCGCAGGGTAACAGGGGATATGGACGGGTACACCGAGGTAACCCCTTACTCGTCTCGAAAGATGTACTGGGTTCTTTAAAGTGCACATGAGCCAATTTTGTACTCTGGGCCTACGGTTTATAGTCCTTATCCGAGAAGAAATTGTTCCACCACCAGAACCACAGGCGAGCGTGCCGTTCGAACCAGCGCCGATATTATGGTTGTAGGTTGCGGTGCTCCTTCCTTAACCGCTCGGCCATTCAACATTTAATCCATAGTTTGGCAGTATCCTTGATGTGTGGAAAGGGTTGGCGCCAGTGAGGCGGGAGAACAGGGCCAGGCCCCCTTCGGGGAGGAAAACAATAATTCTTTGGGGACCATTTTCGAAAGATTTTGAGCGACGCCCGACCACGCCCACTTTGCTATCGTCGGAGACACCGCCCTACTCCGCTCGGGAACATCGGACCTTCCCCCATCCCGTCGGACAAATCCTGGCGCCAGACTGAACTGTGGCTCTATCTCCTATCAAGGGCATGCCTAGGTGAAGGAAATGATACTGAAAACGCCACCATTGCCTAATCACAGATCACTGTTCTTACCTTTGACATTGTGGATGAGTTTGAATTGAGCTGCTGCGCAGCGACAGTTCTGCAATAATGGTACAATTATGATGATTAGGCCCTTACATACATTTTCATAGCATCGCAGTCCGAACAGTGATTACACCGCTTAGCAAGTTCTAGTATAGTGTTCATCAACATAAACAAGCTTCAGTGATATTTGAAAGGGGAAATATATAAATCTGTGTTTAGGATTAGTACAACTGGCGTAAGTAGGCCGATAACATATATTTATTTTTCTGCATAACTGTTATCAATAGAAATAGTAATTCCTAGTAACGATGAATGTGTATGACATACATTCTTCATCGCAACTATTGTTATTTCCAATGATTGGTAATGATTGCTGCAGACGAGCAAAGCAATGTTTTATTGCATTAGTACATACCTAGGAAAATGAGAAACTGCTTTTCATGTAAATTGAACAAAACGATATCCGTAGACCTAAAAAGGCGCATCCGCTGCTTATGGTGCATAGAGCTAAATGACTGTAATGTATTCCAAGAATATAGGCCCTTTGATATTATTTTTGTATATTATACAACGCTCTCTGTAACCATGGAAACGTATAGTTGGCGTTTCTGTAGATGATGTCTAATTTTGCCTGAAAGTGAACGTTTGTTAAGAAATTAATATCACCGCCAAATAAAGAAAAATTGGCAACTTGAATATTAATAGATTTATAACAGACATTCTCAATGTTTACTATAGGCTATTCCATTGGAACGAAATCCTAATTAGGCCTAGTATAATAAAATTAGATAATCATGCCCTATGGAAATTAATTTGTTGTGTACCAATTAGTGAGAAACCTAATGTTTTGTTGTCACGGTAATATTAGTTATAATATGTACGTCTGAACTTATGCATCTCCGCTCCGTTAGTCCGTTAACAACATTTAAGTTTATTATTTTTTACCAATGGAGAACAAATTAATTTAGCGATCAACTACCGTACGAAGCATTTCTATTACATTAAACACACAAAATAATGAATACAATACGTTCTTCGTAAAACATTCGACATGTCAAGGGAAAAAATCTCCTCAATTAGGCCAAAAAAAAAAATATAAAAAAAATAGGCCTATGTTGTGTTGCCCTCCGCGACCGACCGAAATTTTCCAAAAAATCGGGTCGGCATTTCTTCTTTTTTTTTTTTGTTCAAGTACAAATTCGAGAAATACCATTGGCAAAATTAACATTTAGAACATAAAATCTATCAAAAAGAGACATGTATTTTATCTAAATCTGGCCATAGACCCAGATGCACGCGTAAAATCGGTAAAATAGAAGGCATAGGCCTAAAGCTGGTTTTCCACTAGGCGAATTTATTCCATGAACGAAATATTTTTCTCTTTTTTATTCGATTGTATTACATAGAGGCTTTTTTTTCATAGCCATAGTGTGGTTTTACTCGACCTGCCAGTGCGTGATAGCGTGGATCGGATACACATATTATTTTACGTTTCGAAGCCAAATAAAACTTTCTTTAAACTGATTTATTTTTATTAAATTTATTTCAATATACACTTGGTTAGCATAATCCGTCATTAAATATCTTTTGTTTGGCAAGCTTGCCATCGTTCTTTTGTGGTGCTTACGAGCTACGAGCCCATAGGCCTAGGTTCTTCATAATTGAAACTGGAGTTTGAGGCCTATCCTACTTCAGGTAGGGCTTATTACTAAGAAGAAAATAAAAAAATCCGACCGACTGATCGATGATCTCGATTTTTTCCATTTAAGGGCAACACAACAATTTTTTTTTTGGCCTTATTGTAATACCGGTAACTAATAATAGTTCCAGACTACTGTACGTAACAAATGACGTCACAACGGTCGTTGAGTTTAGCTAAACATTTCTTGATTTAATCTAAAATAAGATAATCGTCTACTAATATCTTACTAAATGGCAAAGATAAATAAGTAAAATATTTCTTTGTTTTTATTTTTAAAGTAAATTACTTCTTTCGGCATCTATTCGATGCCGATTGACTTAGATTCTATGTACTGCCGACCGACTTCGAATCGGTTTGAGCAAAATAACATTATTATTATTATTATTATTATTATTATTATTATCATATATATATTCATATACATATATATATATATATACATATATACATATATATATATATTATATAAATATATATAACAATAAATGTATATGAATATTGTATTATATAAATATTAATATATATATTATGTATATATTATATATTATTATATATAAATATTATTATATAATTTTAATATAATATTAATAAAAATGATATATATATATATATGTTTTTTCTTCATCTCTCTTCAAGAGGGTAATAATAAGTTATAGTTCATAATGTCATGCATCATGACGTGTACATATTATAAGTACAAACCGTCAAAAAATGCATAGTGAAGCAACTTTGGCATATAATGACGTCATACGATATCATCAGGCCTATGTTGACGCGTTGACGACCATGTAATGATGCAAGTCTGAATTAAATTTCCAGAACCTCTTAAGTGGTAGTGCATTTGCATCCTCGGCTCATTAAAGCAATGTATTAATTACACATCCTAACACAGACTAGTTCAATCACTAGACCGTCCGAAAATATGTGTTATATTAGCCTATGTTATGTTTCATACGGAATCGATGATGCCTAATTGTATTGCGTTTGCTTTCTGGAACAAAGCAAATATCTTTCTGTCCTGTTGGATGACTGTAAAGCATCTCTGTTCACGTATGTAGGCCTACCTAGTACCGTAATATTTTTTTTTTCATTTGAGAAGTGTTTATAACCTATGGTATGTTTACGTTTACCTAGGGATGTGGATTAAGCTCACTTAAGTGCCGCAATTTACGCATGCGTCAGGTTACAAGCGAACAACCGCTTATTAAGTCCACGTTAATTAATTTTGCCTCAAAATGAACTTGATGAAATGAAAAAGGTTAGGTCAGCGAGTTACATCTGTTTTTCTTTCTTCTTTTTCTTGAATTATGGCATCGACATATCTCTCGTTCCATCCATTTGGTTTGTAAATCCAAGCGGGTCTAATAAACCTAACATCAATATTCATGATATACTTGATGAAGTAGGCCTACTAGTGCTTAAACTCTAGCTAAATATCGTATACGGCTAATTGTATATATTCAATAATATTTCTGCTTTTGATTATGTTGTACCTCAAAAACATTTGCACAGCTCTGCCGTTTCCAGTATTTAGCATTGCTTCTGTAATTAAAAATTTAAGGCAGACCTTCGTGTAATATAACATTTATTTATTGGAGATCCTGCATTGCCGTTTAAAATGCTTAGGAAGAGGGCGTATCACAAACATTTGTTTTTAAGTCTGTGTGATGATTATTGGTGCTACGCGGGCTTATTATTGTCTAAAATCTGATCCAATTTGGGACAAAATTCCGAATGGTCCAGAGGTTAAAGTTTTTGTATTGAGCAATCTCGTAGGTACTTTTTCTTTACTGTTTGCAAGATCAACCTTCAATAATACAGTTTAAAATATCAATTTTCCCTGTAAGGACATGTGTCGTGCTTCTGATGGAGTAATATTAAACCTGATTGATAGATCAAATAATTAATTAAATAGTTTGATGCAGCAATTCCATTAATTTCAATCAATGAATTAATTTTAAGTATATAACTTTATCCGTGAATAAAATATGAATACGTGGACTAATAAACGGATACGTTGGGAGCATGCTAACCCCGGACGATGTTCTAGACATGAATTTAATAATTACGTGGAACACAATTCCGGAATGTCATGTGTAATGGAAACGTGAAGTGATTTGCGGGGTGATATCATTTCTATCAACCGTATATTTTCATTAGCGATCACTTGACGTTTTCCTTTACGTAGAAATAAAAACACCACTCCATATGTTATGATAATGTGCTCGCTATGAACTGTGCGTGCGTTTAAAGTAATATCGATAGACCAAGTACGCTATCGACTAAGGCGAGCCATTGTCTCATTCATTCGCGACAGGTGCAAACGTACAATCCGATCAGCTAGCTATTGGATTAATACATTGTGGATTATTCATATCAACCATCGTAATGAAGATGAGTTAGGGCAGAGGTTTTCTTCCTGTGTCAGCAGGCTTTAGCATCGTGAGTAACGCTAGACCTAAAATTTCAAACTTTGAGCCGATTTATTCTAATTTAGGCAGCGCATTCAAATCTCATAATATTCAATTTAATACATTGATTGAAGTTAGAGCATCGTGTATACGAATGCAAATTTAATCCGTTTAGCATTTTATGACTGATTCACAGAATAACTTTCAAATATTAGTTTTCACATTTATTACATTTTTTATTGCAATTTGTAAGACCATAAAATTGTTTGACAGCTATGCATTATTATGTACATGCAGAGAAAGCGACTATGTGTGTTAGTATTCACTGTCACTGTAAAAGATAGGCCTACTCAGTGTTAAAATCTGAAAACAAACTCTCAAATATTATTATATAAATTCATCATCATAATTGTCCATACTCATAATTATGTATCATAATTATTGTCACCATTACCATAGTCCTCATTATCATTATCATCATCACCATAACCACCATTACAATCATCAAACCATATCGTTATTGATGTTAGCATTATTATTATCATCGTCATGATCACCTTCATAACATCATCATCATCATCATACGTCGTCATCATTGTAGTCTTCATTACCAAATCCTCATCCTCATCATCATTATAATTATTTAACAACTACATCATTACCATTCTCATTATATAGCCTACCATTATAGTCAAGTCCGAAATGTAGCAATATCAGAGGTTGCATTTTTTATTGCTATAATTTTTAAAAATTGGATATGATGTAGAGTAGACATTGATAAATCAAAAAGTATGTGCAACATTTTTTTTTCATACGTAAGGGGGGTTGCCAGCAGTTTCAAAATGGCCGTAATTTTTCCCTAAAATTGTCACTAATATTGTAAGTTTATGTAATTAAAATGCAGTATTCAATTGAAAATCCACTCATAACAATGACAACAACAGTTAACTAACTATTGTACACATTTTTGAGCTATTACAATTTAAAATGGCTGCATTTTCCATTATTTCAGCTTTTTAGCATACATATTAATATAATAATAACCGATCTGTAACTGTAAAACAAAAACGTGTGATAGAGCTAGTTATATGCAATTGCCATATGCTGTTAATGGTTATTGCC